TCTTAGAAGAGCAGGGCATCTACCAAAATCAGTCTTATCTTGACAAGTACTAGCCCCGCCCACCCACCGTTGATTTTTTTAGAAGAGCAGGGCATCTGCCAAAATCAGTCATCTTGACAAGTACTAGCTCGCTCGCCGAGATCTCTACCCTGAATTTTTCAGAATTTTTAGATGAATTTTTCAAAAACGAAATGTTCCATGTTGTATTACCTCTATTATGCAAATTTCGACCCATTCTCGACGATTTTCGAAATTTAACTAAATACATTTTCTAGTAGATTTTGGGCTTCAGAAGTCATTTCTGACTTCATTTCTTCGATTATTTAAACCATTTTTCCAGGTTTGTCCAGTTGAAATTTAGCAATTTTTTAAAATTTCGAAAAATTCAAATTTCACACCGAAGTTTCCGAAAATATTGCTCGGTTACCGTTAATATGCTATATTTTTGGAATCAGCACGTCGGGATATACTGAATCCCTGAATTTTTTCAGAATTTTTAGGAAACTTTTTCAAAAATGAAATTTTCCTCATGCAAATTTCGACCCATTTTCGACGATTTTCGAAATTTAACTAAATACTTTTTCTTGTAGATTTCGGACCTCATTTCTTCGATAACTTCAACCTTTTCTCCAGAATTTAGTTAGTTAATTAATTCAGTGCATTGAAATATCGCAATTTTTAAAAATTTCAAAATATTCCATACAACATAATATGCAGAAAGACCTTGCGTCATTTTTGCAAGTAGGTGCGTGTTTCCAAGTTCAGTTCGGATTGCAGAGCTTTTGTTCGGATTGCAGAGCTTTTGTTCGGATTAAAGAAGCATCGACTTCAAATAGCCTGTGTTCGGATTACTGGATGTTCGGATAATCGTGAATTCGGATTATCGAGGTTGTACTCTATTTACAAAATGAAATGCGATTTCAAAATTTTGAAATTGGTCAAAATAAAGCCCCTCGGTCGTGTGTCAGGGGGAGCAATTGAGCAATTGCACCCATTGCCCCCCCCCCCCCCCCGATCCGCGCCTGACTTACTTAAGCTTAAATTAGACTTTTTTTGATGTGATGGCTGTTGAATTTTATGTATACCGGGTGTCTGGAAGATGGCTCTTAACTCTCCGCTACGCTCTTAAGAATCACCTGGTGAGTCTGGGGAAAATAGTAAAAAAAATCGTTCTCACATTTTGGTGGAGTTATAATGATTTTAAAATTGGTACTTTTGTTACGTTATCACAATAACTAGTAATAAAACTTTTAGTTAATATCTCTCTCACCCATGACCATGTTGAATTACCATTTCAGTTAGAACGTACAAAGATATGGTTGTGTTGTTTTTGTAATAATTTGATAAAAATCCATTTGACAACAATGTTTCCCTGATATAAAGCGAAGGTATAAAATCACCAAAAATCGAGTAAGAAGTTAAAAATGTTTGACATATCAAAAATTGTCAAAGTTTTCAAAGTTTTAAAATGTTCGTTGTTAATTTTAGGTTCCCTGATGTTTTATTTTCGGATAAATTTAAAGGAATCTGGTGTTTTGTTGCTAGATAAACTTGAAAAAATCTTCTGAACTTTTAGTGTTTTACTTTTTGTGAATTTGAAAATGTCTTGAGTGCCGCAGTGTTTTTTTTTAATTCGGGAGACTCTTGGGTACCCATGGTGTATTATTTTGGGAGCCCATGGAGATTTTTTTTGTAACATAAAACAGTTTTGGGGGACTTTGGTGTTCTATTTTTGGAAAATTCTGACCTGACCTATTTTTGAGTTAATTTTGGGATCTCTTTTTTTTTGATTTTTTGAAAAATTTGAAACAATCTAGTAGTTCTAGATCCCTGTTTGGAAAGTGCTTTCGAGCCTCTGTGTCTTTTCTTGTAATTATTTCATTAAATTTGTTGGAGGATACGTCATTTGTCATTTGCTAAAATCAGTCTTGTCGTAGCAAATACTAGCCCCGCCCACCCGCCCTCTCTTTTCTTAGAGGGTATGTCATTTGCCAAAATCAGTTTTGTCTTAGCAGCTACTAGCCCCGCCCACCCACCTCATTTTCCAAAACCATTAAACTGATTTTAGCAATGGCATACCCTCCAAGAAAAAAAAGGGTGGGTGGGCGGGGCTAGTAGCTGCCAAGGTAACAACTACTAGCCCCGCCCACCCACCCTCTCTTTTCTAACTCGCTAACTTTTACAAAAAATGATCAAAATTTGGAAACATTACGATGTTACTTGTATGTGCAAGACAGGAATTTTGAGCATCTTCTCTAGTGTTTAGTCGGTTATGCTTTAATGGATTTTTCTTTTGTTGGTTTTGTTATTGTTTATGGTTTGTAAATATCTTATTAAATGTTTTTTTGGTTTATTTATTAAAGGAAAGGAACAGTGTGTTTTATTAATAATAATGCACGATTAATGACTACTGGTTGTTATGGTTATTGACCTAAAAAAAATAAAATGTGGATTTCAATCATTATCGTTACTAAGAAATCAGAAAATAAGCCGGAGATATTCACCCATTAGGTGCGTGCAGTGTTGCCAATTTTGCTTTTATAAAATTACGTTTTTTTTTGTAATCTACATCATGAAGAATTTTTTTATTAGTTTTTTTTGGATTCCCGAAACCCCTAGACATAACGTACTGAAGAGTTAATCCGCCATTTTCTAGACATCCGGTATATGTATATTTTATTCTAAAACATAATATATTTTTTTTATAATTTATTTGATGCGAAAATAAAAAAATTAAGATCTCTACTTTTTACTTGTTATAACTTTAGCAAAATCAGCGTAAAAATTGGATTTTTTTCTGACATATAATATTTTCGATCGACATAGTTTTCTAAATTAACCAAAGTTCATTAACTATTTGAAGTGAGAATTTATTATATTGTAAAATTTAAACAGTATTCTAAATTAACTAAACTTCGATGAGCTTGAAGCGTCTGGATTATTGGAGGAAATCCTTTACTACATCTTGTACTCATAGGTCGTCCATGGAGTATTGAACGAGAATTGTTCCATAGAACTGACAATTTTCTTGGCGATTTTCATTTTATTATGAAGCGAAACATCAACGTATCCTCCTACGACAGTAGTGTGACTGCGCAAATTGTTTGGCCTTATTTCCGATTTTGTTGATACTTATCTAGTACATCTCTCCTTCTCGTATTTCAAAAAAATCTCTTTTCGGGCAGATTTTGAGGGCGAAAACTGGTATATTTCTTACAAATCTCGAAAATGATTTAACATAATTTTTTCTCTCCACTTCATAAATTGTTCAGAAGACGGCTCATATCTTTCTCTTGATGTTTGAGAAAAAAGGTTTAATGATACTTCAAATTGGTAGAAAGGATCTTCTTTCTCAACATATTTTTCGATTTTTAGGTCAAAAACATTCAAATATCTCGAAAATGTTAATTTCAATGTGGATACAGCATCTTTCAAAGTGCGTTCGTCGTGTATTTTTCATCACTTTTTATAGCAACTGTAGAAAAAATATTTTTCTTTAGACAAACCTTTACAGTTATGACCTAAAAAGTATCGTTGTCGAAATAATACTCCTGATTCCCCAGGGAAATTACAAGACACTAAAGTTCAATTTAAAATTTTAAGTTGACATAAAATATTATCTTATATAAACACGAAAATCTTCTCGATTTCACATTTTCCGCTTAAATTTTACCTAGGTGTGGTTTTTATTTTCCAATACATTTTTACTTTTTTGTCTGACTTTACCACCAAATGTCATTTTTAAAGCGTGAAGGAGAGTAATTAATTATTAAAAATTAAAACATTAGCAACCAATTAATAAATACCTGTACCATCCTTAAATGTCAAATTATAATTTTTTTAGCGAGAAAGTGTCTCAGCAGTGATCAAAACCAAACCTCTACTAATAGGTTAAATAAAATATTAGTCTTTAATGTGGCTATAATTTTATTAATAAACATTTTTCGTGTTTCGCTTGTGATAGTTGAGCTATAACAAATCCTACATCTCAATAAAAGTCAGCTAACATCAAATCACAAGCTGCTACACCACAAAATAGAAATTACAGTTTTGCAGAATCTTCCTCAAGAACCAACTTTTACTTAATTATTTTCATTTGCATAATTTAACATGGAGCTTGTGTTTATTATAAAGTTGTAAAACATCCTCAGAGAAAAGGACCATTAAAAACTGTTAATTATTGTTATTATTGCCGTTTGGTGTCATTTGATGCAAACTGAATGTCACTGGGTCACCATTTGCACCTCAAACAATAAAGATAAACTTTTGAAGCGACCGAACCGTTAGGTTCAAAGTGCCATTGTTTCAGGAATAATAATCACGGAGTTGTCGTCAAAAATTGCAACCAAAATTTATTGACAGGAAATCTAGTTGGACTTAAACAGTTTATTCGTTGTCAATCTTGCGATTCCTCCGCTTAATGTAGCATTTTCCTTTTTCTACAGCCGACCTCACTTTCAGTCTCATTTGGCTCTTGACAGTGGGTAATTTGGTGAGAAATTTGCGAAAACCTCGACTGGCTCCTTGCACTTCTGACAGTTTCTTGGTGGGTGGGGTCTCGGTCGTTTCTAGATTCATTTTGGTTTTTGATTTTGTGTTTTAACTACAAGTACAAGAAATTTTTGGTTCGGTTTAATAAAATCGACGGTGACAGTTTCTACTTCAAATTTATTTTTTTGTTTAAATTGATTGATTTCCGTGGAGATGGGTTTACTTGAAACCGTAGATTTACTATTTCACGACCCGATAAAATAAAAACCTTCCTAGTGCCTTTTTTGCTCTCCAGTAGATCCGGCGACAACATGAAGCAACATAACCCGCACAAAAACCACATAATTGAATTTTTTCTCGTTGAACTCTGGCTTGTATATTTTTTCCCGAGTAATTTATTTCCCGATATCAATCGAAGAATCGGGGTGGCTGTCGAGACCCTCATGTAACGAAGACGCTCCAAATGACAAAGATAAGAAGTGTGTCCAGTTCAGAAATTCCAAACACGTTCACGTTATTTCTCCAGCACGGCCTTCCGGAGCGATCCAAGACCGACTTGGCTTGTTTGGCTCGTTTCGGAGCGCCGCTTCGGCTGGAGGGACGCGTCGTAGCTCGATCGCTTCGATTCTGTTTCCAGTAGCAATAGCTGTTAGCAAATAAAACTGGTAGACCATGTGGAAGAAGACGGTGGCTTTCAGTTTGGAATGTTGAGACGTCGGTCTGGGCGAGCGCTGCGAGATGTACAGCAATGTTAAGTTGATTTTTTAACTCATGCCAATAACTAATCAATGTCTGTAATTTTCTCAAAATAATTACTTCGATCGACCAGCCTATAATTTTACATTTTGTTGCGGTTGCTTTTTGCGAGGACGAGGCCTTTTAAGGATGCCTGAAGTGGCCGTGCGGCGTGGACGAAGTCGCGACAATTACGCCAAAAATAAAGTTAATTTTATTATCAATCATGGGCCGGACGGGCGGCTGGGGAGGAGTGGGTTGGGAATTTGGTGGCGAGGGGGCAGAAGAAGTGACGCTTTTAAGAGTGTCTGGAAACTTCACTAATAATATTACAATGAAATAGAGTAAAAAAATCTCATAATAATTATCAAAAACAAATGCCATTTTGATGAAACTTTTTTAAAATGTTTAATATATCGTTTGAAATCAAGTACATTGCTAAATTATTAATGTGAATTTATTAAGACAAGCTTCGTACGTAATATTTATTAATGATTTTTTTTTTGTCAAAGTACATAGATATTGTTTGGGTATAAAAGATATAAAATAGCTTTAACACTCTATAATAAAAAATACTGAAGTTTAAGGAATCAAACTGTCACAAATATTCAGTCAATGTATCTGTAATTTACCACTGCATTCATATTTTTTAGATTTGTTTATACAAGTGAGTCAAAAAAAATTAATGAATCAGTCAATTTATTTAAGTTTCCTCCTCTTTTGTCACATTATACACGACTCCGTAAATTAAGCTTTATGGGTGTAAGATTTGTTTTCCCAATGGAAGCACCGAGTGAGTACGAATCCTGCAGTGTTGCAAATTTTTTTTCTGTTATTATTTATCATACTGTACTTATCCGTGTACTTTACAACAATTCATAGTTTTCCATTGGTTAGTAGGATACATCATTCACTGCAATGGATGTCACAGACAAAACTAAAGTATAGTCGTATGATACATCAATTAATGCAGAAAAATGTCTATTAATTTGTTTATCCCTGACTTCGTACGTCGCGGTGAAACAGTATATGTGAACAGACTCATAGAAAAAGCAATCGTGTGCAAGTCGGACATGCGGAGGACGGCTACAGGGAATCACTCGACCAGACGGAGAGTGGATAGAGACAATTGTGACACCGATACGAAAAAAAAATTGCCTGTAGAGGTTTGCTTGTCTACGTTTGTCACCTGTGTCTTTATCATTTCTTTCCAAGGATATTACACATACGACATATCTTCTAAGAAAAGAGTGGGTGGGTGGGTGGGGCTAGTAGCTGTCAAGATAAGACTGATTTTGGCAACTGAGATACCCTCTAAGAGGAGAAAGGGTGGGTGGGTGGGGCGAGTAGCTGTCAAGTTAAGACTGATTTTCGAAAATAACATATCCCCTAAGAAAATAGAGGGCGGGTGGGCGGGGTTAGTACCTGCTAAGATAAAATTGATTTTCATATATGTATACATATGAACGACTTCCTGTACCTAAGCTAAGGAAGTATAGTAATCGAATCCATCCAGCGACTTGCCATTTTCATGTTTGAAGACCCCTAGAATACAAAAGAGTGGTCTTCCTTTTCCGTCTATCTGGCGTCTGTGTCAGTTTTTATTAAACAGAATGACCGTCCCAATTGTTATCAAATTTTGTACGTGTATTAGGAATAGCGTGTAGATGGTAAAATGCTAACCAAATGTTGGCTGATCATCCCCATCACCAATGGAATGACGTCATTCCAAAATTCGGAATTGGATTTTTTTTTTATTTTTATAAAATACGATACTATAAGATAAGATAAGCTAAGATAATTTTTCTACCGCCCACGTTTTTCGGTTTTCTAATAGAGCTATTAACGCACGCAAATGACGTCACAGCAGTTCGTTAATAGCGGAAAGGCGTTCTTTAATAGATCTGGTGTAATTTAGATCGGTAAGATTGGTAGCCATGACGAGAAATGTCAGGTGAATGTCAGTGGCAAATGTAAACTTGAAATTTCCCATGTTTCCGGACGCGTAACTTCTTCGCAAGACATTTTAACCAATTTTAAATTACAAAAACTCGAATTGATTCAAATTACAGTTGTTGTTGTGAAAATTCGAACCTCAAATATTTCGTGGTTAGTGTCAGATCAACCCATTACCAACCACGACAAAAGTCCCTAGATTAAAAAAAATGCAAATTTCAATTAAATTTTGGGAAAAAACGTGTGCGGTAGAAAAAATAGTATAAATAACTCGTTCATAAGGCCATTGAGGCACTCATCCTTTATATAACTCGCGGCTTCGCCGCTCGTTCTATAAACTTGGATTCGTGCCTCAATATTTGCCTTATGAAACTCGTTCTTTAATATACTATTATTGGTGTTAAAAACAAATTGTTTTACACAGGTCATTAATTGCTTAGGCTACCTACTTACATATTTAATCAATCGAAATCCTTACATTTTAGATATTCATCATTCAGTTGTAGATAAACAGTGAAGGTAGAGTTAGAATATTAAGAGAAACGAACGCTGATTTACAGTCAGCACGATAGTCAAGACCAGTTATGCTACGTATGGCCCGTCTTTGGAGAGCAAAGATTCTATGACGAATGACAGAGTGTCCCCACACTGTTATTCCATATTCCAGCAGAGAATGAAAAAGGGCAAAGTATGCAACTAATGTTGTTTTTAGGGATACATTTTTCCTAAGTTGACGAAGTAGAAAGATGTTTTTACTTAGTTTTTTTGCCAGTTTATCCCCGTGAGTTTTCCAAAGAAGTTGGTCGTCGATGGTAATACCAAGAAATACCGTGTCTTTGCCATAGCTTTAATTTGTTGGGTTATCTCTGTTCAGTGTGAAAAACATATTGACTGATTTGTCGGTATTCATGCTTAGTTTGTTGCTGTTGAACCATAGTTTAGCTTTCGACTGTACCTCCAAAGTCTTATCTTCACATTCTTCAAGAAAATCACCTCTGTTTAGTATAGTGGTGTCGTCGGCGTATAAAATAACTTTTGAATTTGTTAAATTAGACGGGAGGTCATTAATAAAAATTAAGAAGAGAAGTGGGCCTAATATTGATCCCTGCGGGAAGCTACACGTAACAGGCAGATAGCTAGAAGACGTTTCTCCCATAGTGACTTTTTGAATTCTGTTTCTAAGATATGACGATACGAGACGAACACTCTCTGGGTGCAGATTATAGAAATAGAGTTTTCGAAGTAGTAGCGAATGGCACACACAGTCGAAGGCCTTGGTCAAATCTAAGAAGGATGCTATAGCATAAGTACCTTCGTGAAAGCAGTCCGTGATCTCGTCAACGAGATCTATAACAGCTTTTGATGTGTTTAATCGAGACCTGAAGCCAAACTGATTGGAACAGATTAAATTATGTTCCTCAAAATAGCCACTCAATTGCACCATAAGAATTTTTTCCAAAATTTTAGAAAAAATCGGAAGAAGCGATATTGGACGATAATTACTACGGTCACTAGGGTCACCTTTTTTAAGAATTGGGATAACATTCGCAACCTTTAGACAGTCAGGGAAGGTACAGGTTTTAATACAAGTATTAATTAATTTTGTGAGGGGGGATAAAATAATATCTCTGATAGTTTTGATTATTTCGACACTAAACCCATAGACGTCTCTAGATTTGCTGTTTCTCAATTTATTAATTACTTCTCGAACTTCGGCACAAGATACTTCCCTGAATTGAAAATACGATGCATTACTATTACAGTCACTACACATTAAAAATAAGGGGTCATAATTTGAAGGAGGTATTTTGCTGGTTATATTCCTAGCAATGTTACAGAAGAAAACATTGAAATCATTGACATTTTTGTTACAACGTTTGATAACATTAGTTAATTTGTCACTGCGTTTTGCATTGATGGTAAACCACATAGCTTATATTTCATTGTGGGCCTGTTTTATGTAGTTTTCGTTAGCAGTGATTTTGGTCTCACGAATTGCGTCCCGGTACAGATTACGATATAAATTTCTAGCTGCCCTAATGTCAGTGCAGAGAATTTTAACAGGTTATTTTTCATGTTTTTGAGTCGATTGAGCGCACTGATTTATAATGAGATGCCTTAACTAATTTTTCAGGGAAACATAGAAAGACATTGTGTTGTATCACATTAATGAGTTCTTGAAAACTTTTGTTCGCGTCAGAATAGTTATTTGTGATGATGTTCCAATCAACTAACTCCAGGGATTTGTAAAGACAGAATTTTCCAAATTCGGTAATGGGTCGTGACATAACAATCTTCTCCGTCGATTGATTGAAAGGAAAATCAATCGCAAGCCATATTCCTCGATGGTCAGAAATATCTAGATCTATAGGACTAACACGGAGATAATATTCTTGTATGTTGGTGAAAACATTGTCCAGGCAATTTGTCATTCTAGTGTTGAAATTAACAATGGGTTTAAGACCGTAACTTAGGATTAGGTCCAGCAAGGCAGATCTTTTTGCATCATTGGAGTTGAAAATGACGTTTAGGTCACCCCCAAGAATTATGTTTTTTTTTGACATCTAAGCAATTTAAAAGTTTTGCTATAATACGTAGGAACTCATCAAAGTCGCCTATATTATTATATTTTACTGGAAGATAGGGCTACTAACTTGGGTATGCTGTCGCCAATAAGTTCTTGATGGGTAAAAATAATGGATCCACCATATCCTTTACTTCCTCTTGAGAAGTAAGATTTTGCAGAATATCGTTCCACTGATACAACGTTGCACTCGGGATCTGATAGCCAATGTTCGGTGAGGCATATAATAGAAGGTGACAAATTTTGATCTTCAAGAAAAGCTTCCAGTTCTTCTGTTTTATTTCTCAAGGACTGGACATTTTGGTACAAGATATTAATATTATTTTTTGCAGGGGCAAGATCTCTGTTTTTATTAGTTTTGTACTTTACATAAGCTTTTCGAAAAAAGCATTGTTGTCGTTAAATTCGTTATGACCACCCTGTTTACTGATGGATTGTTGCTTTGGAAAATAGTAACGATTTAGCACAATACCCTTTGGCCAAAAGTTTTCGTTCAGTACCTTATCTTTGTTTGGAAAAGATATCATAATTTTAAATGACGCTTCTGCACTTGCGGTGTTTTCACCTTAGACATCCAGATTTTTGTGAAAAAAAAAATTAAAATTGTGTCTTGCAACCGTTTTAAGGTTATCGTACTCCTGGTAAATCGTTAATCAAAATTTATTCGTTTATCCCCCTCATCTCGAATTTTTCCAGATAAATTCTGTTCCAAATCTGCAAAATATTTTGACTATTTTGTGGTTTACCAATGGACCAGTGACGCAATTTATTGTATTGATTAGCAAGGCTCGGATAATATGCAAAATGCATATTTTTGCATATTCCGCATATTTAACAATTTTTTTTGCATTTACTGCATATTTTAATGTTAAGTGCATAATTTTTGCTCCATTTTTCGTAGAAATTATCTGAAAATCTTAATTTTAGTACAATATAATACAGTTGGTTATTGGCAGTATGCAAGTAAATAAGTACCGACCTTTTCTAGTAATGCAAACGGGTTTTTCCAAGACTTCATTTACGGGCACCCCCAATTAGGCGTATTAGTGGAATTCTTTACTTAACGGCTTCTAAACCTTGTAAATGTAGATAGTTCTACAAATGTATTTAACGAGGAGTTGGACAAGCATAGCAGAAGTTAATATATATAGAACTTACAGTTAGTATTCATTTATTTACAAATATCGATCTACAAGACTCCCGAAAACTTAGATTAAAAAGAATTCTGACAATTTTTTTTTTTGGGCAAGGAAAACTTTGTCTATATTGGGTGTATTCCCCCAACATAGGATGCAATAACTCAGATGTAGATATACTTGAGCATAATAAAGACATTTCAAAACATGTGTATTTACTAACAAGCTCAGTCTTAGAGTCATTAGTGATTCCTAAGAATTTCACTTCGTCAACTACTCTTATGCTTTTCCCACCAAGCTTACTGAGAATACTATAATTTCGTGGATTAAATTTAGTTGTAAACTGTATCAATTGAGTCTTGTCACAATTTAGTACAAGCCCGTTTAAACTGTACCATTCTAAAGTCTTCGACGCCATATTGGTGATTGAAGTTCCCAATTGAGCATCATTTTGGACTCCTGTTGTTAACGATCTGTCATCTGCAAAGAGGAATTGTTGACTATTGGGTATACTAATCGGAATATCATTTACAAATAAAATAAAAAGTAAGGGCCCTAAAATATTACCTTGAGGAACTCCCGTAGACAAAGTAATGGCATTTGAGTAGCAAGTTTTACCAGAAAATACACATTTCACTATATGTGACCTATTTTTTGAGTAGGACGACAACCAGTCGTAAGGCATCCCTCTTATTCTATACCTGTGTAGTTTTACTAACTTTAATTTATGGTCTAGAATATCAAAAGCTTTGGACATATCGAAAAAAAGACCTGCACATTTAAATTTATCCTCTAAAAAGTTAATAATTGAATTGCAGAACTGGTAGGTCGCATCTTGTGTTGACATAGACTTTCTAAAGCCAAACTGATAGTTTAGTTTTTAAGTAGATAATGTTTGTTTATAAACTGTTCTAGTTGCAAATAGTATGTTTTTTCAAAATTTTTTGAAAATGTAGATTGACGAGACACAGGTCTATAATTGGTGATGGAAGAATGCTCTCCTTTTTTAAAGATTGGACAAATACTACCCCTTTTTAACTCTTCTGGGAAAATTTCCTGCTCAAAATATTGATTAATTCATAATGATAGTGGTTTGGCTAATACATATATGCGCTACTAATATCCTTAAGGTTTTTGCTACATGTTTTTTTTTTACCAATGTTAGTTTCCTCATGTAAAATTTTCCATGCAACTTGTGATTTATTTGGAGCATTTATGAGTCTATTGTCATTTAAATTTGGTTTTGCTTGAATAATTGCAACACTATAATTTTTCTTTCGTAGTTTGAATTGTTCCCGAGCAACAATGTTGCCCGTTTCTTTCCAAAGCTTATCAAGATCCCTAAGTTTATGAGTTTCCTCATAAAGTTCAGGAGTCATCCACAATTTTGAGCCTATGCTTTTTGTTATTAGCTTGCGTTTAACAGGATAGACATAATTGAAAATATCTAGAAATCTGTTATACTTAGAACACCGAAAAATTGTCAGGAAACTTACCCATTATTAAAATGGTAGTCCAATTTATCGAGAATAACATATCAATGAAATGAGAAAATTCATGCTTAACGAAGCTATTTGGGCATGGAGGTCTGGGATATATGTGCAGACAACAGTAGCATCTAAATTTTCATTTATATTCAAGAATATATTGTCAATAATAGATTTGCTGTTCCCTTTTATATTCCCCGTATATTCAAAAATAGGCTGCCGTAAGCCAAAATTATTTAGAATATTGCGTACCTCTCCACAGCGTCCTTTCTTTTCCTTGAAATCAAAATTAAAATCATCATAACATACAAATGGACTTTGTACTTTTCAAAATTGTGCATTACGGTTTCCAATCTGAACATAAATTCGTCAGGATCGCCGTCTGGAGAAAGACAAATAACAACAATTATAAAATTCGATATCAAGACTTCCACACAGACATGCTCAAATATCTTATAGTTTTGCGCACCCTCTAACACTTTTACATTAACGTTAAGGTCATTTCTTACATAAATTGCTACACCATTTTATGTAAAATATTTCTGAAATCATGTCAAAATTTGATAATAGTTCATCTGCAGCAGTCAAGGAAGCTAACAAGATTAAATAGTCCTAAATTAAATCAGAACTTAAGTTTCATAAATAGCAAATACTAATTAATTGGTGTAACATTAACAAAATTACAAAAACATACAGTCTCAAAAAAATTAGACGAAGATGTTAGTAAAAATGGGGCTTGTACTAAACTAACTAATGCAGCAAAAGTTTTAAGTGGACAGTTGTCAGATGAGGTAAGTTGTGTCGTCCCTTAAATATACCTTGAAAACATATTAAGGTATAATAAATATAAGTAATAATATTTTTCAAGAGAGTAACTAGTTAGTCAATAAAATAGCTAGTTAATAAAATACTAGAATACACACAATCGAATGATTTTCGAAAAAGGGGACTTGTACTCAAGGGCGAAGGAAGTTCTGTCGAAATATTTTTTTTGTTAATTTTAGTTACTAAAAAAGCCTGAGCCATCTCTGCAAAAGCAACTTTTTGATGTTTCTTCCGGGAAGAGTTGTCTTCGCCTGCAGGCACATTAACACACATCCCCAACCATGGCACTAAACCATCCTCTCTGCATATTTATTTTCGCTAACACCTGACCCCTGGTCCAACCCAGTTCCAATTTTCAGCACACCTCTCGACATCTGACCCGCCATTTTTCTCGAAGAAAAGCCAGCCAGGTCCGCTGCAATTCCATCACTAATAAACCACTGCATTTAATGGATATTCCCGGTTCTAACGTTTTTCCAAAGGTCAAACTGTTAAAATACGAGAGAGCCTCAACGTCGACATCCTGACCTCTTGACCGCACAATCTGGTATGCCGACGACAATTTCAGTCTTTCTCCTTGTTAATTATTTATTGGCGAGCTTCTCCTCTCCGTCTTTCTCCAAATTAAAATCGTGTTTATGTGGCCCCCGCTCTTGATCACAATGCTATTGTGGTTTAGCGGAGGGCAATCAACGAGATCCAGGTACCGACCACAAAGCGCCATACTTAAAAGTCCCATTGATATTTATAAGGTAGACGCATACAAATACTCAATACGTATCGATGAAAGATGTGGACGTGTGCCGGAATACATTATGTATATAGAGAAGAGAGTTAAATCTAAATTTAAGACCGATGTTACGGTTCAATAGGTGGCCTAAAGGGTGCGGAATGGCCCTAGGGAAGGCCCGTTCGAGAGGTATTTCATATGACAAGACAAAGAGCTCTGTAGGTATTTCTAATCAACGGAAATTGATTAGTCGGTGCGGTGGTATTTAAATAACAAAGACGATGCGATGCAGGTAGCGAGTGATTAATTTTTGACGTTGTTTGTTTTCACTGAGCAATTAAAGTTTTAGAAGGGAAATTTAACGGTACGAGGTTTATTTTGACATACACCTTCAAATGCCATTTTTTACCTTTATGTACACGTTATTCCAAAAAAATGGATCATCTACTTTTATTTCAAATATTGTCAACAATTTTATGACAAGTTTGTTTAAAAATGGACAATTTAGACTTAAAAAGTCTAATATTATTAATAAGATTACTAAAACTCAGACATTAAGAACTTCTGAAGTAAAAAAAAACGAAAGAGTTCTAGTTCACTTAATCCAAAATCGAAAAGAACATTTTTATGGCAGCTAGATACAATAATATAAATCAAATATAAAAATTAAAAGATTTCATGGGTTCAAGATCTATAGACTTACATAGATATTTTGAGAAAAGTGCAACAATTTTTACCAAATCTGCAGTTCAAAATAATTCTAAAATGTATAAAGAATTTTTGCATTTTTTCATACTCATGATCTCCAAACTTTGGAAGATGGTCACTAAGTAAATTCCACATTACATGATAGAATAAACGAAAAATTATGTAGCTCATGAGTACTTCGAGATTGGAACATTCTCGACACATTTGCAAAACCTAGAGGTTCGTTGCCTGGATTTACTACATTTTCAGTGTAGCAAGTAAAATTCCAATTTCAGCTAAAATTAATGCCCCAATCATTAACAAAATTTTAACTGATCTCAGTTCTCAGTTTAACTAACCTAACCATCCCGACCACCAATGGCATGACCTCATCTCCAAAATTTATAATATGTAGTAAATCTTTTTAAATTTTATAAAATAAGATACTCCTGCACTTGCGGTGTGTGAATCCATGTCGAATTTTCACCCTAAACACCTAGATTTTTGAAAAAAAAAAATCAAAACTCTACAACAATATTTCGCAATTTAACTTTGAAATTGTCAAACCGAATGCTCTGAAATCCTGTAAATATTTGAAGGTCATCGTAATCAATCATGGTAAATTGTTAAGCAAATTTATTTGTTTATCCCCTTCCAAAAAATTGATGACGTCATCTTGAACTTTTGGCCGAATAAATCCTCCCTGAAATATGCAAAATATTATGACTTTATACTAGGGTGGCGCAAAAAAAACGACTATTTTTTTGTGTTGAGTCTCGTGTGAACATATGTTAGTTTATTATGTTTTAAGATCCTTCCCCAAAGGACAGCTTCAAAAAAAATGTTTAAGAGGTCGCTCCAAATTTTTAAAAAGTTCCCAAATCGTCAAAAATAGATTTTTTTTGTTTAATTTTGTTTTTCTCGTTACGGTAATATTTTATAGATGAAAAAAAAAAAGTTTCCCATATTTTTAGCTCAAAATATTATTTTTGTTAAAGGTCGTTCATAATTTTTTTTAATTTAGAAAAGCATTGCTTTAGATGTTTTCGAGCGACTTTTTAATATTTATATTAAGCTTCAATGAATGTTTCACCTTTTAATTAGTGAGACAATCGATGAACATACACCACGAGATGGAAAAATAAATCAAACCTAATGCTGGAAATATAATTTGTTAATAACTCGATTATAATCAAATAAAATAATAAAAAAAAAAATTAGCAAAATAAAATAATATTAATTGTTTATTGTTATTTTGAATTCTTAATTTTTCTTTCAATTATCATTTTTTATCACATTTACAAATTACAGCAGTAATGTAATGTAATGACAGAAATTTCTTTTGCTTTTGTGAATTAAAAAAAATTATGAGCAACGTTTAACAATTAATATTTTGTGATAAAAATTTGGGGAACTTTTTTTTTCGTCTATAAAATATTACCGTAACGAGAGAAACAAAATTAAATAAAAATAAAATCAATTTTTGACGATTTGGAAACTTTTTAAAAATTTCTAGCGACCTCTTAAATATTTTTTTTGAGCTGTCCTTCGGAGGAGAATTTTAAAACATGATAAACTAACATATTTTCAGCACAAAAAAATAGTCTGTTTTTTGAGGCACCCTACTGTATACTTGTGCTTTATCAACGCACTCAGAAATTTTAAAATTACTTATACAGGTGACCTAAAAAGTTATTGAAAGAGTCAGTTTATTTTAGGGATTAAATCGGGAACGGTCCTTTCCATTTTCCTGAAAATTTAGGAATACAAAGCTGTTATCATAAGCATTCAAAATAATATATGTACCTTTGCAAAATGTTGTAAAGGAAAAACGCATTTGAAACGTACGAAACTTTATTTTAACTTATACAGTATAATTTTTCGAAAAAGCTGGATTTGTTTTATTATACTTCAGGGACGAGGTAAGTTCTGTTGAAAACATTCGACCAATTTTTT